TACAAATTTAATTATATCATGTGCAGTATTCCGAGCGTGATAGCGACTGCACGTTCCAGAGATATGTCGTAGATGAATTAGGTTGTTTATTCTCGGGCGATAAATCCGGAGAGAAACACAGAGAGCTAGTATTTTTAAGATAAATATACTTACGCCTTTATTCGAAAGATACTAGAAGGAGGGAAATCATGAAGAAGAGAAAAATGAGGACATGTCGCTTGTATACAGAATTTAGATGCAGAATTTCAGCTTTTTATTCTCGCGATGAAAGCAAACATAAATGCAAATACGCATTGTTATCGATTTATTTATGGAAGATTTATCGTATATTGTAAAGATTATTTCAAATTGCGCGAATATTTCGTTACTGACAGGCGGATCTTGTATCTATTTAGATTTTGATGAGTTGAAATTTTGCTGCACTTGTTATATATGTTTACGTTATTTAGACATAAGATATTCATGTGATAAAATAAAGCTTATTAATTTTTGAACAGGAAAATCTTCGACAGCACATCGCATTTAAACGTTTGATGATTTATTTAAACATTTATGGAATATGTTTATCCAGTTTTTCGTTTTCTTTTTTTTTTTATTAATCTCAAATTCCATGTAATTTGTATTCATTACTGTTGAAATCGCAGTAATACGATTGTTTTGTGGACTTTAAAATAATGCATTATAACGTTTCCTTGCTGCGCTTTTGTTCTATAAGTGTTGTTATATTATTATTTGCGATCATCTGCACAATAAAAGTCACTTCAATCGGAAAGAAAGTGCGTTTCGACTTTCCAATTTCTAAGAATATTATTCTGATTTCGAAAAATATTATTATTAAAATACTATTGCATTATGAAATTTGCAGAGAAGTCTTATAAATCACATTATGTATTGAAGAAGAAAATTTGCATTTCCGGAAGCAACAACAATTAAATAATGACATTTGAGAGATTATAATCATAGCGAAGATTTTTGTTCTCTAATAATGCGCAAATGTGTTTTCTAGGGATTTAATATTTACTTGGCAAAATATTTATGAATACTACACCAATAAACATGATGTATACGTCGAAATTTACAAGATATCGATAAAACGCGTTTGTCACCGATTAAAAATAGACTGATGGTTAATGAGATTGTATCGTGCGAATTATTATGATTGCGAAGACGATTTGGAAATATGAAGACCGTACATCAAAACTCACCCAGAAGCAGAAATCAATCAAACGTAACGGGCCTTTTCGTGGCAACGACGCCACAATTGGTTCTCACATTATTATGCTATATTTTACTCAATGTTGTTCATTATTTGATTGCTATTTAACGTTGGATAGCGCTTGATAAAGTATTTATTCGATGTACGAGAGAGATGCAGTGCAAATTTTTGTTTTAGAATTGGAGCCGACGAAAGATGTCCTTTCCATCCTTCCTTCCCTGCGTTTCTCCCCTAGTCCCCCAAAAAAGAAACGCAAGATTAATTATGTCAAAGGAGTGGTTGTGATTCCTTGATGTATGCGTTCTTTTCGTCCGAGATTCATATATTATATACAGATATTATATTTGTAAAAGGTTGACCGGTCGCGATTCGACGATATTTTACTAAATAAATAATAAAATGAAAGGCACTCTTATGGGAGGAGCTTGTGACTATCGTGGATTGTTACATCGTTCGAATCGCCGATAACGGAACACGCTATGCAATGGCATCCTAGAGATGTAAAACTTTCAGATAATAAATATGCATATTGTTGTACAAACCTTTCTTTCAGCTTATTCTTCCCTGGCTCTTTAGTAAGAAGGTAAGAAATCTTTTGCGTAGCAAGTTGATTTTTAAATATGTACAATATATACGGTGACCATATATCTTTTATTGTAAAGAACAGTTCTTTATTTTAGCTGTCCTTTAAATTTATTTGTTTCTTTAAAATTCAATTTTGTCCTTTATTTTGACATTACGGGAAATTCTTTTCTAACGTCTAATGTCTATAATATTATATCAATGAGCAAATTTTTACGGAAAATACTTTACAGTTTTATGCATATAAATATAATTTGTTTTTGTTAATTATATTTCTTAATTTTTTAAATTAAATCTATTCAAACTAGAATGTGACTTGTTTTCATTTTTTATTTTGAACTTTTTATTACTTCAGATTAAGGGTTTGTTCCAATATAGTTGAACCAGTTTCAAACTATCAGAAAACTGCGCATTATCGTAATTTGATTATACTGTGCCATAAAATTTTATAATGCGCAGATTCTTGTCAGTCACAAACTAGTTTGAAAATATATAGAAACAGCCCTAAAATTTTCAAATTTGTCCTTTATTTTCTTTAAAAAAATATGATTACCGTAACAATATAATATACATATATATATTTTTTTCTTGGTAATACTTGATGTTTTTTCTCGATGTATATATGTATTTTTTCTAAGGAGATGTTAAATTTTTTGATGCCAAAATTATTAAAAAAAAATAATTAAATCTAAAATTTTTTTCATTTTTACACAGATATTACATTACTAATTTAGAAATAATCGAAATATACTTTCAAATTGTTATTAAATCGAATATATATTTTATAGTTATTTTAACTTGTCAAAATTAATAATGAATTATAAATTGTCATAGTTTTATAATTATTCCTGGAAGGAAAATAAGATTGGATAAACTGATCGATAATAACAGATTCTATAATAAAATTTTGGCAGTGTTTATTTTATTTCAGATTATGGATGAAAGGTACAATAAATCATATGATATGGGAAAAATAAATAAATAAATAAAATTTCGTGAAAATATACATTATGATAGAGACCTCAAAATTCTTTCGGGACATGATGTAATTTTTCTTTCTTTTTTTGGTTGACCTTTTTCAGGTACTATTTTGTTCTTTTTTCGTCGTTTTTTTTTGTTTCACGCTTTCCGTGTGCACCAGGCAGTCATCAGTGAGCGTGAGCTGCAAAAAGAAGAATGTTGATCAAATATAAAAATATGGAATGACAATCACGTGCACTTATGGAAAAATATTTAAATGAGAAAGATAATATTTGAGAAATCACAAATCATTGTCGCAATACGAGATAAGCACAATTCTTGATTTATATGTATTATTTTTCCATAAGATCTTATTTAGAGATTTCGACTGGAGGAAGTACACAAACTAAAATGATATGCGACATTAAGATCAATGCAAGATTTTTAGAAATCGAAAATTTGACATTTGCCATGCTTCAATTAATCTTTAAATTATACATGCATTATACATTCTCCTGTAGAAATCTTCAGAAAATTTAGCAGAATGATTTCATAGAACTTTTATACAATGTACAAACATTAAAAAACTCAGGTTTTTACACGTCCTCGTATGCGGTGTAATGTTTCAACTATTCTGGTGGCAGTTAGTCATTTATAAATACCATATAAACACATTAAGATATTACATTAATATTAATTGCTAAATATGAATCTAAATTCAATCACAGCAAACTAATCTGGCAAATTATAATTCAAACTATTCTACATGACATTTAATATATTAGCTATATCTACTATGTCGAACAGAAATATTACACCGTGGACGAGGCCCCCTAGTACTCGTCTGGGGGTATTCGGACATAAGTATTTGATACACAAATGTCTCTCACCGGAAAAACTCAAAATACATATATACACATTAGTCAACTGAAAATATACGTACATGAAAAAAGTAAAATAATAGTTCGTAAAATATACACTGAGAGAAAAATATACTAAATTTTAATAAATAATTGTTTGAATATAGTACTAATACAACATTTATTTACGAAAAATAAATATTTGTTAAATAAAATATAATAATAGATAAATCAAATTAATAGTTTTTGTACCAAATAAATATATATTTACATTTAATAAATGTTCAATTGGCACTATATTCGAATAAATATTTATTAAAATTTAGTACATTTTTTTCTCAGTGTAGGCTCTCAAATCATGTACAGACCGTCGTGATAGATGTTGATTGTAAAACAACTTTATGATTAGATGATTATGCTACCGATTATGTGAGGAATTAGGATGATGTTTCGTTAACAAAACCCTTCGGCTACGACGCTTCTGGACTGCCGTTCCTGTCTTCGAGGACAGCCAAGAACGATTCATCTTTATGCTAAACATCGATCCCACAAGCGGTGAGTGCTATATGATTTGCGAATGCTAATAATCGCGAATGACACGTTGATTTTTAACACTAGAAGATATATTAGCTTCCGTTATGTTAAGAAATTGTGTCATTCTGAGATTCTATTGTATATTTGTTACCGTAACTTCCATAAAATGGACATATTTATAATTAATTTTTTTTTAATTGATGGAGAATTGATTAAGGAATAAGTCCATTGTATTTAAAAGTCGATAGCATTAAGGAACTTCGAGATATATAAGTTCAAAGAAAAAGAAGAATTCAGAAACAAAAATCTCGATTTAG